AGATGGGCTAAAGCAGACTGAGAGTAACTGAGCAGTCTCAGACCTGTCAGTGAGTAAGCATGAGAAGACTTCCCCTGGTAAAATGGGCAGATAAGAACAATTTGTTCCAATGGCCATGAAGGCAGCTGAAGCAGGTGCTGGGGAGCACTTAGAGCTTGACTGAGACATTGAAGACACGAAGGTCATCCACTGCATCTTCAGCCATCACATCATCTTGACTCTGTCCTGCTACTGGACCATGAGGACTCTGGAAGAGAGAGTGAGGTCAACAATTTCATACAACTCAGCCTCACTTAAATCCAATTTATGAATCAAGACATCGCCCATACCTCTTTACCATTGTCACCTACCTCAGAGTCCTGTGGCAAGAAGCAAATGATGAAGCAGCAGGTGTGGATACACTGACAGCTGTAGTCACAACTCTGAACACAGGCAGCTCAGGCCATAGGGTTGCCTTCTCACTGGAAGCAGTAGTGCGATTTGGTAGCTCCCTGGGTGTCTGAGCAGCCTTTTAAGGATCACACTGCTCACCTCCTGGTGTGAGGAAGGGGCTAGAAAAGGTGCAGAGGACTACCCAGCATGGCGTATCTGAATTAGAGAAGGTGCTGTGCTCTATGAGCAAAGCAGAATTGAAGTAGCTCAAAAGAAACATGAGATGCACAAATTTAGAGAATCCACCCCAAATGTTCACTATTTGTGCCCCATCCGTGGTAGAGCACAACCACAGTTGGTCACACTGTAACTTGATTCTAACATAGTGATGTCATTTGGCTCCTCTTTGAGGACGAAGGACAATGGTCATTGTTTTCTGTAGTCTATTCTGTAGTCCCTTTGGAAGTTTCATTGTACGGCATTAAATCTATAAATTAATTTGGTATAATTTTAGTAGTATAGTATAGTAGTATAACTTTATTGATATTATTCAATCATGAACAATTGATATTATTCCAATTATCTTCCTTCATTTCTCTGATTTTTTTTGGTGGTTGTATTCATCCAAGATGTCCCCAAAGTAAAGACTTTGGACTAAGACTTTAAGGGACACACTGTTTAAGTATCTTGGTAGGTGAACTCCCAGATATTTACCATATCTTACAGTTATTTTCAATGGGACTTCTTTTTCTATCTCTTCCTACTGTGTTTTATTAATTAATATTCAGAAAAGCAGATGGATTTACAGATTATTTTATATTCCACTTTACTGAGATTATTGCTGCAATTAACTTGTGGTTGGATTGCTAGAGTTCTCTAAGCAAGCCACTGTATCATCCACAGTAATGATGGAAACTTTGTTTCTTCTTTGCCTGTTTATTCTCCCAATTTTTCTTTCTTGTTTTATTGCTGCAGCTAGCATATATAAAGTTATGTTAAATAGTGGTGAAAAATGTACATCTGTGTTTTTACCTCTGATCTTATTGGAAAGGCTACTCCACTCTGAAATTCTGTGACTTTAAGATCTCATTGCTGAATCTAACAGATTTTTCTCCATCTTAATTCTCCTTGGTCAGGCAGTCAATAAACATTATTAAGTACCTATGGTATATGCCAGGCATTGTGCTAAGCAATGGGAACACAAATTGAGAGAAAAAAAAAAACAGTCCTTGCTCTTAAGGGCTCACAGTATAAGTGGGAAGACAATATGAAAAGACTATGTACAAAAAGCTATAGATAGGATAGAGAAAAGGCACTAGAATGTAAGGGGGATGGAGAAAAGCTTCTTGTAGGAAGCAGGATTTTAGTTGTGACGAACTCAGGGAAGTCAGGAGACAGATAAGGAGGGAGAGTATTCCAGGCATGAGGGACAGTCAGAGAAAATGCTCAGAGGCAGGAGGTTGCATTTGACATCTTGTTTAGTTGTTTTAGTTGTGTCTGACTCTTTGTGACCCCATTTGGGGTTTTCTTTGCAAAGATACTGGAGTGGTTTCCCGCTTCCTTCTCCAGTTCATTTTACAGATGAGGAAACTGAGGCAAATAGTTAAGTGACTTGCTCAGGGTCATACAGCTGGATTTGAACTCAGGAGGATGTCTTTCCGACTCCAGGCATGCCACTGTATCCATTGCACCACTTAGCTGCCCCCTACACTTGGCACTTCCTTTCTTGAAACTTAGCATCTGCAACATCCTATTTCTTTCTACTGCCTTTTCTCTGCTTATTTAGCAGGTTCCTCTTTCTCCTCTGAAGTGTGCCGAATAAATCTCAGGCCTGTCCCTCTCTACTTTCTCTTTGTATATTTTCCCTCTCTTAGAAAACATCGATTTTGTAAGCTTCAACTATTACTTCTATGTGGATAGCTCCTAAATACACATTTCCTTGTCCGTATCTCCAGATGCCCATTGGATATATTGTCATCTAATGTAACTGTCAAAAATCAACTCACCTCCCCAAAGCAGCATTTTTTTTTTTTTTTTTTTTTTTTACAGCATCCCTGTTCCTCTTAATACATCCACTGGGCTCTCAGTCAGATGTTTGGAAGAAGGGAGGGAATAGTAAGAGCATGGGAGCAAAATCATGGAGGCTGGAAGGAGTATAGCACCTTTGTGAGATAATACGTCTGACCTGAATGAGGCAGAATACGATAGGTAGGGTTGGGCCACATTATGAAAGGCTTTGTAGACAACTAATACAACAGTTCACACAAATCATCACAATGTCAGGGAAAACAACTTTGAAAGACTTCCCAACTCTTGATGAATGCAGTGACCTCAGTGAATGCAGATGAAAAATATGACTTTACAAGACTGATAAAGAAGCATGCCTCCTGCTTCTTTACAGAGAGGGGATGGTAGAGGTATAGAACATGAGATATCTTTTCACTTTGTTGTCATTCAGTCATTTCAGTCATGTTCAATTCTGTGTGACCCCATTTGGGGTTTTCTTGGCAAAGATACTGCAGTAATTTTGCTATTTCCTTCTCCCACTCATTTTACAGATGAGGAAACAAAGGCAAAATGGATTAAGTTACCTGCCCAGGGTCACACAGTTGTCTTGAGGCCAGATTTGAACTCAGGAAGAAGAATCTCCCTACTCCAGACCCAGCACTCGCCATCTTGCTGTTATCTATTCCTTTAGTCAAGGCCAATCTGTTTATTTCTTTTATTTGACTATTTGTTATGGTAAAGTGGGAGGAGGGGGAAGATTCTATTCAGAGAGAGGTGAATTAGTGGAGAGTGACAGAAATGCAAAAAAGAGCATCAATAAAACAACAAAAAATACACAGAATGAAACATAAAAAAGAGGATGTAACTCAGGCAATTTTGTTACCATTTTGTTAAATGCAATCTACATATTTAAAAAAAACCCCAAATTATGTAATCGAAGCTTATGAGTTTTTCTATGTTGTCCCTCTCCCCCTTTTGTTTTTTGATGACTAAGGTCATATTTGATTATAGTCATGAGATTTTTATGCAAAAGAGCAACAGATATAAACATTTTCCAGGATGTAGGATGGATCAAAGTCAGGAGAGAGTGTTAAGGAGTCCAGAAGACACGATGTTGCAATAATCCATCAGAGAGATATTGAAATCATTTATTTAGAGCAGTGGCAGTGGGGATGGAGAGGGACAGATTTGAGAGACTTATCAATTGCGTTTGGTGACTGACATGAAGCAGATGAAGAAGAGGGACAAATGCAAAACACCAAGGTCTCCAGCCCAGGTGACTTCAGGGCACATTAAGGTAACAGAGACCAGGAAGATGCAGGAGACGTTTTGTGGTGGGGCCAGGGACATGTTGAGGTTAAGGTCAAGGCACAACATCCAAAGAGAAATATACAATAGACCGGTTGGGAGACAGATGACTAGTGTTTGGGTGAAGTGACTATGATGGAGATAAGACATTTGGAAACCCTCAACGTAGGGCTTGACTTCAGCCCTGAGAAGAGATGGGGGAAAAAGAACAATCAGGCATCATTACACACAATCATCAGTATTTCATTTTCCAAGGAAATTGAGTAATAGTACTTTTTTTGGATGTTAAGGGAGATTACAAGGAATGTATGCAAATTCCTTGTACTAAATCTTTTATTAAATGACTTTAACACCCATGGAGGGGTCTAGCTTTCAAGAGTGAGGTGACAGATTCTCTGTATTCTGCCCTAAGATAGAGCACACGGCCTGGAGCCAGGAAGACCCGAGTTCAAATCTAATCTCAAGACACTTACTAGCTGTGTGACCCTGAGCAAGTCACTTAATCTGTTTGTCTTAGTTTTATCAACTGTAAAATGGGGATAACAACAGCACCTTTCAGGGATGCTGAGGATTAAGTGCTCATCAAAGTGCGTGGCACATAGTAGGTGCTTAATAAATACTTACTCTGTCCTTCCCCACCCTAGTCACACTTAATCTAGAGCGTTACATGCAGCTCTGGATGCCACAGCTGAGGAAGGACACTTGATGAAACTGGACTATGTCCAGAAAAAGGCAACCAGGGTGTCTCAAAAGGCCTGAGTTCAAATCATACAGAATCAGCTGAAGGCCCTGGTAATACCTAGCCACGTTGGAGCAGCAATGAATCAAGTAGTCTATGTCAGCTGTGTTCAACTATGTGCCAGGCAACATGGAAGAGGGATTAGGCTTGTTCGCTTGACCCCAGGCACAAGAGTCAGGAGCGATGGGAAGAATTTGGCAAGTGGCAAACATAGGCCCCTTGTAAGGAAACATTTCCCAACAATCAGAGTGATGCCAAAGTATCCTGGGTTGCCCCTTGTGGGAGGTCTTCAAGCAGAGACTGGGTGACCAGATGTTGGACACGTCGTAGCAGGAATTCCTTTCCAGTTTATGGACTGACCAGCTGACTGTGGAGGTTCCTTCTAAAACGCTGGGATTCCTCGATGGTCGTTGTATGGGGACCACTTGGGCCTGTAAACTTGAGTGTGAAGAGGGAGAAACAGTGTGGAAACAGACAACGGGGAGGCAGGGGAAGGCAATGGAAGGGAGAGGGTGCACACCAACTCGCACGAAAACTCCAGCTTACAACCTTGCAGAGAACACAAGGACAAGAGTTACATCCATAAACATTTTATTCAGCACATTACAGTAGGGGAGGGCCCGGATTTAAACACATGGTCAGAGATAGGCAAAGAATTCCTGGTTTAAGGCAGTAACTAGTAGGTTAAACAGGGTTAGATGCCAAGACAAAGGAAGGAGCACCAAAGTGTTCGAGTTACAACCAGACAGGGAAGTGTCTGCAAAGGTATTGGTGATACTTGGTAAACTGACAGCTGCTCTCCCGCTAGAGCTGCACAAAGCACAAGTTGCTTTTACATAAAGATAAAATATTTCAGTGATAGCAAAGGAACAGACGTTAAGAGAACTGAACTCTCATTTGCCCTTTATGTCACAAGTTTTGTTATGCGATATGCAAACAACTGAATCGCAATGTCAGAACGAGTAACATTATGCTGAGATCTCAATTTTGCCCTAAGATCTCCTGTGGCTATTTCATCTATCCATATAATCCCTTGTTCAGATCATGTGTTCTGATGTGGAAAGAGACTTGGTGTATTTCAGAAGAGTAACTGATGCATGTGTGATGGTTGAAACCTGAAATAACTAATAAATAAATAAATAACACTAGCTATTTTCAAAGTAACCTTTTGGACACACAATTGGTTAATATGAAAAAATCCCAATTTCCTGTGCATCTCTCCCATGTAAAAAGTGCCACTGGCTACCTCAAAGGGCAATAAGAAAGTATAATTTAGAAGTCTGATTTGGGAAATGGAGTGAGAACTGGGAATAACAAGAAAAACGTACAACCAACCGTAACTGGGGCCAAGAACTATCAGTCAAAGTCATGAATAGTCTGACTCGGTGCCGCAGAGTTGACACCTAATTCTTAGCAACATGCCAGAGGTGGTTGTTCATACCGCAGACTACCAGATAAAACACTGTAGATGGAGAACATGGTGGAGGTGCAGAGGAGCAGACAGCTTCCACTTCACTTCTGATTTGGCTTCTTAGGGAAAAACCCAAGCAGAAACACAGTAACTAAAGCACTTCACAGAAAGAAAGGAGGTTTTGTGAGGCAATACAAAGTTTGAACGCAATGTCAATATTCTCATTCTCCTGGAACTCTGACTTCCATTTGGCACTTTCTTAAGCTACGACAAACGTGCCTTAACTGGGACAGGCTAAGAATCTTTACTGGCATGTAATGTTTTGGCAAAAATAGAAATTTTGGTACTATCCACAGTACATTTTACACATCATCACCAATGACTCAGAAATCCTCTTGCCAACGTTTTAAAGGTGAATCACACCATCACATTTTATCACTATCTGACGTGAAACACAATGAAAAACATTCAGTAGTGTTTACAAAGGATAGCGGGTTATTTGATAAGGCATCAGAAAAATATCAAAATAAGGCACGGCCTGTTCAACTTGGCAGAGTTGTGCTAAGCAGCAGGAAGGCACACATTGTACATCTGATTATTCATTGGTTTAAAATGTGGATTAGAAAATACGAAATTCATGTGAAGAGGAAAGCAGGCTTGAACAAAATTTTTTTTAAACTCTGTTTCTAGAAAGTCAATGGCAACATTACATCTAAGTCATGAAACTCCGGAACTTAAGAAGTCTTCTTCATCAGCCCATATGGTAGTTTATCAAGGCACTGTACAAAATGTGAGTTGGGCTACTGACATTTCTAATTAGGAGTGTAATATGTATATGTGTGTGTGTGTGTATATATATATGTATTATACATATATATTAAAAAGGCAATTTCCTATAATACGAACTTTACATTAACCAACAAAAATAATTCTGTTTTATATATAACAGTACATAAATTTGATAATACAGCAGGCTTAAGTCAAAAGACTTGATGACGTTTCTCAAACCACAGGTCTGAGCTTCACCGGCTGTTCACGAAGAAATATTCCACACTAATAAACAAGAAGAAGTGACAGCAGGAAGGAAAAAAAAATAACATTTTAGATGTGAATTCAAATTCTTGATTTTTACCTAAAATTTATACTTTAGTCTAAATAAATAAGTTTTTGGCAACAGGTCATGAAAATTCCATTTTGGGGATACCCTAACTGGTTTATCTAGACTTTAAGTAGAGCTGGGGATTTTCCAGAAAAGAAAAAGTCTCCATTCACATCACCTTCTTTCTAAAGGAGGCAACCACTAACATCCGCAGAACAAACAGTCCCTGGGAGAAATATTTCTCTAAACAATTTCCAACTACTGAGCTAAAAACGACAATGGATTATGTCAGTTAGAGGAAGGAGGTCAGCTTTAATGTAAACATTCAGAAGGAGTTGGTGCTCTGTTAGAAACAGATAAAAAAGAATACCCACACTGAAGAAATCAGAGGTTGACTGAAGTCATGAAATGAGATTTAGCTAAAAGAATAAATCAAATTTAATTATATAGTAATAGTAGCACAATCATATGGTTAAACATTGCTGGAGAAATGAGCTGAGAGAGGGAAAAAAAAGAGAGGCGAGAAGAAAGAGAAAAGAGAGGGAGGAGGGAGGAGAAAAGAGAGAGGGGAGAGGGAAAAGAGGAGAAAGAGAAAAGAGAGAGAGAGGAAAGAGAAGAAAAAAGAGAGGAGAGAGAGGGAGAAAGAAGAAGAAAGAGAGGGAAGAGGAAACTGAGAGAAGAAAGAGGGAAGAGAAGGAAAAAGAAGAGAAAGACTTTAGGACACCTCATAAGCTTTAACAGCTTAAAACTGAACTAAAACTCTTGGGACACTACCTAAAACTAAAAATGACACTTTTAAAGAGTATTTTTTCATTTTGTTTATAGCACATGCACTCACCAATAATGATGATGATGATGACAACCACAACAGTAATTAGTATCGCCCACATCTGTAACAAAACATATTCCATTCCACATCTTCAGATTTGTAGATTATCCTGCTTACTGAAGAATACCATACAATAGTGAAATACCCTGATGAAACAAATTTAGATTGTTCTACTCATTGGAAAAGAAATTAAGGAAGCTAATAACTCCATGGACATCAAGAAACAAAAGAAAGTCAAAAGAATGGAAAAAAAAAAAAGAAGAAAACATGAAATATCTCATTAGAAAAGCAACTGACCTGGAAAATAGATCAAGGAGAAATAATTTAAGAATTACTGGACTACCTGAAAGCCATGATCAAAAATAGAACCTAGACATCATATTTCAAGAAATTATAAAAAAAACCCCAAAACCAAAAACCTGCCCTGATTTCCTAGAACCAGAGAGTATACTAGGAATTGAAAGAATCTACCAATCACCTCCTGAAAGAGATCCCAAAATGAAACTCCTAGGAATATTATAGCCAAATTCCAGAGCTCCCAGGTCAAGAAGAAACTATTACAAACAGCCAAGAAGAAACAATTCAAATACCTTGGAGCTCCAGTCAGGATAACACAAGATTAAGTAGCTTCTACATTAAAGGATCAGAGAGGGCTTGGAATATAATATTCAAGAGGACAAAGGAGCCAAGATTACAACCAAGAATCACCTAGTCAGCAAAACAGTATAATTCTTCAGGGGGGGAAATGGCCATTCATACAGAGGACTTTCAAGCATTCCTGATAAATGCACTCTGGACTTCTAAGTTACTTGGGTGCTTGCTCTGGTCTACTCAATATCCCTTTGGGTACCAAGAGACTCATATTCCTGGGTTTTCCATGTGAGGAAAGGATCATTACTCCATTTGGGTGAAAACTTTCCAAACACCAAGCAAACAGACAAAAGGCCTCCAACTCTTATAAGGGCACATTTGATAATTCAGTAAAAAACAAATTAGTCTTCTTTGACCACTGTCATTTTGCGGCTTCTTTCTAATCTTCTGTCAAGCGTGCTGTTGGTCTGTTCTGTGGTAGACTGACCACTCCATCCCTGACAGGGCCTATGTATCCTATGCTCATACTTCTGCCAGATATTCCCTCAATTCCATGCTTGGCTTTGGATACCCTGCTCTGCACAAGCCTGTCACAGTCTATGGGGAATTCAGGTTAGTATGAAAGGGCAGAAAAAACAACAACATTTAACATTTACACAGCACCAACAACCCCTGAGGCTGAGATGGAAAGTTCACAGTGCTATAAAACAAAGATGAAAGCAACATTACATGGGATCTAATCCAATTCCTCCCCCCCTTTTTAACAGATGAGGACACTGAGGCTCAAAGAGATCCTGTGAATTGCCTATAGGCATTCTGGAGGCAGGACTTAAGCCCAAATCTCTGACTCTTCCAGTCCTGTGCTAAATTACACCATCTGTCTTAAAACACTCTGAGGATCACAGGACATTGAGCTGGAACAGAAGTGATCCTCTATTCCAACCCCCTGATTTTACAAATGAAGAAAACAAGGTTCCGAAGGTCTTTTATCCAAGGTCCCTGGGGAATCCGACAGGACCTTTTGATTCCAAACCCACTGTACTTTCCACGAGTCCATGTAGCCCATGAAACTCATCTTTGGGACTGGAGGGTACTCTACAAACGCTTTTGGCAGGGAGGCAATGGAAGCCTTCTTTTCTGGACTACTAGATTCATGTTGGCCACATGCCTGTGGAACATTGTATTCATGAGGAGCTTTCTAGGACCACTTACCCGAGTGAAGGACAGGATCTATGCAGAGAAAGTTATCTAAGGGGTGTGACTTTACCTTGCAATTCTTCCACCAGTACTTCCTCTTCAGTTTGGCCGCACTTGTCTCAAATTGGGAAGCCCCTGCTTGCAGGGCATCAGCGCGGTCATCCAACTCAGAAAGTTTCTGATCTCGCTCCAGAACTTTGTCCACATTGACTCGCATAATGTCCACTACCTAAATCAAGACGTTCACAAAAGGCAAATGAAGAGACTGAACAGAATTTTCTAATGGCATCAACTGTTGCATTTACCCTCCCAATTTTTTCTTTTCAGGAAAAATCTGTTACTTTTGGCAAAAGGCCCCAACTAAATTTCAAAAACAAAGAACAATTACAATGTCACCATCAGAAAGGAATAGTGACAGAACAGAATTATAATAAGTTTCTGAGAATGAAACTATATGACTTTTCAGAATCAATTTCACAGAAGACCATCAAACCTTCATATTACCATGTTTACTGAGTTGTGTTTTATTAAACAGGTTTATCCAAGACTTTATAAAAGTAGTCAGTATAGTGGAAATAAATGAATAAGCTTAAAACTTGATTAGCTGAAGTATATGCATGCCACAGAGATGGGAAAGAAGCAGCTCACTTACCCATGAACCAAAAGCTGCTTATTCCCATAGTTGCAGCAATTCCAATTGAATTGATGGGGACCTTGAAATAATGCGGCATATTGTTTTGTATATATCCAGAGAAACTTGAAAAAAAGGCTGCTTTCTAATCTGTATATTCCCTCCTGCAGATGTTTAACAGAAAATAATTCCCTTGTGCAATTTATGCAGCAAATAAGTTGTTTGATCTTGTCCATTTTTCAGCAATGGTTGAAACTCTCCCTGAAGGCAGCTTACAAAAAAATAGCTATGATTCTAATTTCCCAATTCTACATACAATATAAGGTTTGTTATTTTGATGGAATCAAATGTGAAAGATTCTGAAAACTTTAATAGCTAGTATCTTCACTAGCTCTTTAAAGAATTGCAAAAGCACTTTAAATACAAGTCACATGATCTCCACAAACCACTCTATTTTACAGATGAGTAAACTGAGACTCCAAGAGGTGGAAGGACTTTAGCGTGGTCACAGAATGACTAGGGCCTGAAGCAGGTTTCAAAGCTAGGTTTCTCCCAACTCCAAGTCCAACATTCTTCCCGCTATACCATGCTGCCTCTATGTACATGTCAGTGTTGAGCAATAAGCAACTATCTTTCCTGGAATTTTTCATGAGTAACTAGTTAGTATTATACCCCACCTGGGCCCCAGACCCCTGCAACCTGTGGTATACAGTTCCAGGTATACACAAATAAATATGTCCCATAGCTCAGTGGCTCCACAGATGCACACTATTTTGCACAGACAAGTTCAATGCCGTCTACCTTTAAACATGGTCAAGAACAGTCTGCAAACATTGTCAAAAAGACTTTTTAAAACCTGGGACAGTAATACTGTCAAGCTAAAGGGAGAGCTATCAAATCAATTTTGATTATTCTTATATACTGGGAAAAATCTGTATTTTACATATCTCACATATAATCGTATTATATATAATGTATATGTATACATGTATATATGTACATGTACATATATGTGCACTTGTTTGTATGCTGTCTCCCCTGTTAGACTGCAAACTCCTTGAGGGCTCCTTTCTGCCACTCTCTGTATCCCTGGCATTTAGCACAGTGTCTGGCACATAGCAGGCACTTAAATAGATGCTTACTGACTGACTGACGTGTGCACTTGAGAAGCAACTTGTGTGTCAATGGAACTGGCAGAAGGCTGAAAGTGTCTATGATATCTATAGACCTAATCTTTACAGTACTCTAGTGGGTATGGCACAATTGGCAGACAGCTCTCAGGGAATTTTTTTAAAGTGTTTAATTTATGGTCATATGCACATTCATTCTAATTAGGGAGTGTCTAACTCCTACCCAGATCAGAGCTGTTAGGGCCCAAGGAGGAGGATATCTATGATCTTTTTGCATTATGCTTTTCAATTCAAGTCCAGAGTGCTCACAGTTTATTAGTTAATGACTAACCTTTCCCATCTCTGTAGTTAGAAGTTATAGGTTTATAAGGCCCCAAAGCCATACCTCATCTACTTGATTCTGTGCTTGCTGAAGACGGCGATTACTGCCAGAGGCAGCACCGGAAACAGAAGGCCCACTTGTCGACCTGTAACATACAAAATGATAACCGTCAGCAAAGTATAACCCATTTTCTAAAGAAATTTATATCTGAGAATATCTATCTGATTGATATCTAAGATGATAGCCTGGTCCCAACTAGTACAAATAACGAATCCCCTCAAGTGGCTGCAGAGAGGTGAATTCATGTTATTCATTAAGTAAAATATGGTAATTGGTTCCAGCCTATGGAAATATACAGTGCAAAATCTGAATTGATAAGATCTTCTGACCTAGCACAACACAGCAAAGAGGAACTACAATGGAACAATGGCATCTTTAATTTTCTCTTTTAAACATAATCTTTCTGATAGTAATATAGTGAGTTTCTTCTAAATCTCTTACTTCCTTTTGACATTTGCCAACACTTCCAAGATACTGTACATTAAATCCTCCAATAGAGATAGACTGGATTCAACATATTCTACTCTGTACCATGACCCACTGCTTTTAACTTCCTGTTTTCAGAAGCTTATATCATTTCTTAAATATAATAGTAGCTGACATTTACATGGTACTTTGAGGTTTGCAAAGATTCTGCTATACATTATTTTATCTAATCCTTATTACAACCCAATGGAATAAGTCGGTACTAAAGGTATTCTCCCCTTTTTTGCAGATGAGGAAACTGGGCTCAGGAAATTGAGGTGACACAACAGTGGTCAGCTAGTGTTAGAAGCAGGGTACTCAGTCTTTTAAGTCAAGTCAATAAGCACTCACTTAGCACGGGCACTGTGCTAAGTGCTGAGGATACAAAGAAAGGCAAAAGCAGCATCTGCCCTCAAGGTGCTCTCCATCTAATGGAGGGGACAATAAGTGAACGATTACGTACAAATAAGATATTGACAGTGAAGGCACTAAGATTAAAGAGACTGGTAAAGGATTCCTGCAGAAGGGAAGCTTTTAGCTGAGACTTGAAGTAAGCCAGAAAAGCCATCAGGTAGATATGAAGAAAGAAGAGTCCTAGGCATGGGGAATGGTCAGTGAAGAGATATGGACTTGGGTAACGGAGTCTTACTCAAGGAAGAATAAGGAAGCCAATGTCACTGGATTGTAGAGTGTGTGGATGTTAGTAAGGTACACAAAGGCTGGAAAGGTGAGAAGGATCTAGGTTATGAAGAGGTTTAAAAGTCAGACATGGGATTTCATATTTGATCTTAGAGGCAACGGGGAACCAGTGGAGTTTATTGAAGAGAAGTGACATGGTCAGATTTGTGATTTAGGAAGATCATTGACAGAAAAGGGGAAGACGGTTTGGAAGGGAGAGGCGTGAGATGGAGAAGTCAACCAAAAGGCTATTATAATAGTGCAGGCATGAGGTAATTAAGGCCTGCACTGCAGCAGTAGCAGAGTCATAGGAGAGAAGGGGCATGTTCAGAGAGATGTTGTAAAGATTAAACCACCAGAACATGGCATAGGGAAAGATGAGTTTCGTTTGGAACAAGAAAATTAATTCTCATCAGTTCAGGGCATTTTCATAGTTAAGCCTAAGAGCTGTGGACTACCCCTTTGTCTCATTCCCATTAAGGAAATAGTTGAGTTCATTTGCTATAATTATTCTTTCTTGTTGCTTCTGAATCTAATTTTCAGGAATGAGGATTATTAAACTCACTCTAACACTAAATAGTACGTAAATGAAGAAATAACTGGGGCAGTGCTCATTAACTTTGAATTTACCTATCCTTCAAGGCCAAGCTCAAATCTTATTTTTTCTCATGAATTCAATTCAACAAGTGTTTATTAAGCCTCTACTTTGTGCGTGTAAAGCACCTGAGCTAAGGCCCTCTCTAGGGCTGCAAAGCCAAGAAAAATTTAACAGCACCTACCCGCAAGAAGCTTCTGTTCTACTGGAGGTAGAGAGCCATCATACATACAAATAAACACAAAGTATACATAAGGTAATACAAAATAATTGCAAAAGGAAGAGATTGCCAATAATGTGGAGGGACAGAATCAGGAAAGTTTTCTGCTAAAAGGAGATACTAGAACGCTGCTTTGAAGGAAATGGTATTCCTTGACCATTCCAACCCAGAGTAGATATTTTTTATTAGTTAGTTGATATTTACTCATATGATGACACGTAAGGTTATTTTTGCAATGTTTTCCCAACTGTAATTTAAATTCTTTGAAAGTAGAGACTTGTAATTCTTGGTATCATCCATAATGCTTAACAATGTCTTTAACATATTGATATGCAGCTAAGTGGTGCAATGGATAGAGTGTCATGCCTGGAATCAGGAAAATGAGTTCAAATCTGGCCTAGATACTTACTAGCTGTGTGATCCTGGGCAAGTCATTTCACCCTGTTTGCCTCTGTTTCCTCATCCGGAGAAGGAACTAGCAAACCATTCCAGTATCTTTGCCAAGAAAACCCCAAATGGGGTCACGAGGAGTCAGTTACGACTGGAAAAACGACTGAACAACACCACAGTAGTACTTATTATGTGGCAGCTAAGATGGCAAAGTGGATAGAGTGCTGGGCCTGGGGACAGGAAGACCTGAGTCCAAATCCAGCCTTAGATACTCACTAGCTGTTTGACCTCGGGTAAGTTACTTCACCTCTGCTTGCCTCAATTTCCTCAAACGTAAAATGGGACTAATAACAGCATTTACTTCTCAGGGTTGTTTTGAGAAAATGAGATAATATTTGTAAAGTACCTGGCACATAGTAGGTACTGTATAAATGCTAGCTGCTATTCTTATTCTATTCTGGTGGACTGCATTTTCTTTCCTGAGAAGCAAGCAGACTATTCTGATTCTAGCTCTCTGGGGACAACTGCCTCCTTTCACTCTACAAATTTCAGCCCTATGGGGTGCTACATGTGCTTCTTGGTAAAATCTTGGGTAAGCTCAGGAAATATGCATTTAAAAGGTCACTTTTTTTTTCAAGGCAATCGGGGTTAAGTGACTTGCCCAGGGTCACACAGCTAGTAAGGTTCATGTGTGCGACACCAAATTTGAACTCAGCTCCTCCTGACTCCAGGTTTGGTGCTCTATCCACTTTGCCACCTAGCTGCCCCAAAAGGTCACGTTTTAAAGTGCAGTCTCAAAAGGTACTTTAAAAACCTAAGCCAAATTCCTTCAAGAAGAAAAAGTGAACACTTCCAAAGCCATACACTCTGGTGACAAATATCTGACCAGAGGGAGAAATGTTCCACAAACGATAAACAAGAAAGTAATTCAAAATACCCTAGGAAGCTTGGCAACTATCCAATAATGTTTGATTTTACTTCTCCCAAAAGCTATCTACAATGACTCCATTGGAGGCAGGGACCCTAGTTCATATTTCTTTAGACATTTACTCACATAGCAGTGCTCCAACTTGGAATTAGGGAAACTTGGTTCTGTTCTGGGCCTTATTCTTATGCCTTCCATCCTTGGCAGCCGTTCAAGCCCTGGCAAACCTGACAAACCTCTTTGTGCCTCAGTTTCCTCCTCTTGTAAAATGGGTATATATAACAATACCTCCAGTTCCCACCCCACACAGGGTTGTTCTGAGGCTCAAAGCAGATCACGAATATAAAGCGCTTAGAAGACACTACAGAAAACGTCAGCTATTTTTAAATCATCGTCATCATTATTATTACTGCCCTGCACAAAACAGAGCCCAACATCAATCCCGATCCTTCCAAAACGGAAAGGGTGGGGGGGAGGGACAGCGGAGGAAAGAGCCCTCTACGGCGCCCCCGGCCCCGCCTGGAGCAGGGACACACCCACACACCCCTCTGGCAGGCTTGGGGGTGGGGTGGGGGCCATCAGCCCTGACTCTCCCAGGGTCTGGGTCTCAGCCTGGAATGACCTCCCCTCCAGGCCCAACTGAAATCCCACCTCTTCCAGGAAGGCTTCCCCGACCCTTCTTAGCTCTAGGGCCTTCATTATTTCCTATCTATGCTGTCTGGAACTGCTCTGACAGGGTTGGTTGCTCCTTTTCCCTGCTAGACTGGAAGCTCCTCGAGGGCAGGGCCTGTCTCTATTCTATCTCCGGTGCGTCGCACATAGCAGCGGAAGGAGAAAAGCTCTTCGGCCGCGGCCTGGGCCGAGGCGCCCCCGCACCCCAGCCGCACCCGGGTGCGGGACCCCAGCCGCACCCAGGGGACACGCCCCGGCGCGGGGCGGCGGCGGGCCCGGCGGCAGACGCAGAGCTCCGCCACACCCCACCCAGACCCTCCGCTCGAACCGGCCCCACGGCGCATCACTCACATCTCGGCGGCTGGCCCCGGCGTCGGGACGGGAATCGCTTCGGCGGGATCAGCGGGGCCTCTGCGCGCGGAGGCTGGAGCTGCTCACGGGCTCTCAGGTTCCCGTCTGCCTGCTTCCCCGACAGACAGGCAGGCGGGACGCGGCTGGTGACGCACAGGCGGGAGGGGACGGAGCCTGGAGGCGAGGCGTACGTACGCACGCACGCACGCGCGTCGGTCCATACGCCGCGCGGGAGAGGAAGCGGCTTTGGGCGCGCGCGCGCGGGCACAGCTCTCGCTAAGGACGTCGGAAAGGGCGGAGGCTGGGGCGCGCGCACGTTCTCAGGGCGCGCGTGCATCAAGACTAACGGAACCAACGGACTTAACTGGCGCTGCTGCCGCTCGAGGCACTGTGACTGATCGAGAAGGAGAGAGAGAGGAGTGACGACCGCTGTCTGTGCCCTCCCTCCCGCTTCCCTCAGTCTGCCCCGTGTCTTGACCCACGGAGAACTCTGTGGGCTTTTTTCCCCCTCCTCTGATTGAGTTTCTTTGAACACTTGTAGGAAGCCGCGGGGATGGGCGACCTTAGTGCCCGGCCCTGGGCCTAGCGGGGGGTAACGAAGTGGCCTGGGTAAGTGAGGGTGGGGGCGGTGCCCTAGTCGACCTCCTTCGGGCCTCTGCGCTGACCCCTGTGTACCCAGGTTGGGGAGTGGGGGAGGGGAGGAGAAGCAGGTACAGCCACTCCGCGTGTGCGCATGCTTGTAGTACTCCTGCTTAGGCTGCCCTTGAAGATGCTCTTGTTTCCCGGGTGAGGTAGGCAGTGCCCCCTCTGCCCCATGTATGTATGTATATAAGTATGTATGAATAACAGTACACGGGGGTCCTCGCCCCAGCAAGTCAGGCAGCACAGACCTACATTAAAATTGGGGGAAGGATAGGAGGTATTTATGAAAACTACAAGTGCTACCAGACAGATAAAATGAGTTTGGCGTCACCCCTCCTCTGTATATTTTGCCTTATTAGAATGTGAGCTCCCTGAGAACAGGCACAGGCTGCTCTTTTAAAGCACAGTACGTGCTTAATATGTGCATTTTTCAGTAATTCCTAAATAAATGCACAAGTCAGAGCTGAGATTACGTGTTTAACATATGCCTTTCCCTTGAGTCATAAATAAAAAGTACAAGTTGGACCTGAGTTCACCTCATCAATCAAAACTTAAGTCACACACGATGCTCCTTCCTGTGAGTTTTCTGCTAGAAGATGTGGGATGCGACTCTGGCCCTCTTAGTTACTCCTTTGGTGACTGGGCAAGCAACATTTCCCATCTGAATATGAATTTTCTCATAAAAACGAGTCTAGACTAGGGGTCTAGAACCTACAGGCTCTCCTAAGGCTCTTCTGTCAAAAATAGTTTATACGTTTTTAAGTAAAAGTTTTGCCGTATTTAAAAATGTAAAAACCATTCTTGGCTCTCTTGGCCCATGGAATTTGGCCCTCTGGCCATAGTTTGCTGACTTCTTGCTCTAGATGATTCCTTAAAACTCAGAATGCTATCTATTTTATGGCTCAGTTAACAGGTATTTACTCAGCATTGATCTTGCCTATGGCCAGAGCGTGCATGCTGGGCTGATCATTGGAGCATCTTGCCCAACCTATGGAAGGAAAGGATAGAGATAGAAGAGATGAGCTCAGGGAATACAGAGTAATTGGAGACCTGACTGACAGTTGTGCAACTTCAGTTAGAAAAGGAGTGCTAGGCTGGGGCACTGAAATAATCAGTGATTCAGTATCTTTCAATTGATCCTATTTGTGTTTAGTTGATTGTGTCCTGTAACTGCCTAAATCATGGTTCTTGTCTTTGAACTTAGTTCAGAAATTCAGTGGGCCTGCAGTGAATTAAGTTTAAAAATCCAGTTCTCCTGCTAATCACTGTTCTATTCTTGCCCCAAGGAAATCTGTTTTCTTTGGTGGATGCAAGTGGACACCAGGGGGTGTGGTCTAGTAACTACACCACCAGCCTATCTTTCAAGGATGTCTGGTTTGCTATCCCAAAGAAGTCTGGTCCTCTCTCTCTCATTTCGCAGGTGGACTCAAACAATGAATATTCCTTAGTCATAGAAGGGGAAAGAGGGGGTTTTTGCTAGCCTCTCATTCCCAATTTTCACCCAGTCATATTGTCCCCGATGCCTCAGCTCTGTAACCATTCGTGTTGATTTTGCCATTCATGATGCTGACCTCTTGTAACCAATCATAACTCGTTCCCCACCTATGAATTCCTGTTCTTTGTTCTATGGTCCCCAAAAATAGAGAACTGTTTTCCACATTTGGGAGGGAGGGTGTCTTAGCTTTGCTGAGGAAGCTGAGATCCTTTTTATTGGTAAAGTCATATTTTACTAATAAATTGATCATGCTCAGAAATTTGTATCTCAGTTTACTTTATTTTAACTGTTAAAAGTACTAACCCTAAAAGCAATAGGAATTAAGAAAAGGGAGTGAGCTTTGATTACTTAGTGTGAGGAAGAGTAGTCAAAAAAGGCTATGTTGGCAAGACCGGACTTGTAGTGGAACTTGAAGGATGAGTAGAATTTGAATAAGCAGAGGGGAGTGAAAGCAAAGGTGGAGAGGCAAGAACAGTGGGCAAAGCATATTGAGAACATTTGACAGGAACAGAGGGTGCATGTAGGGGAAGTAGTTAATAAGACTCGATAGGGACAAATTTTGGAGGGTCTTAAAGCTAAGCAGAAGAATTTGGGTTTGAATTGGCAATAGGGAAGCGCTATAGGTTTGTGAACATGGGAGTGACTTGATAAATAGCAGTTTTTAAGGAAAGGCTTCCACTCAGTCCTTGTGTCTTAGTTGTAGGTTCCTGAAGGCTGTGTCTGTGAAGCTTAGGTTCTGGGAGGTCCTCTCAAACCAGAAAGGCTCTGAATACTGTCCTTGTGACAGGCTGTTCTCAGGGTACCAGTCTTTCAAAGTTTGGAGAGGCTTATTACTAGAGGCGTCAAAGATAGAAGTGTGTTGGAGCTTGGCAATGGAGCCTGTTGTTAAAAGGTCAGTGTGAACATTTATACCTCAACTTGATTGTTGATTACCTGGACTTAAGAAAGTCATGCAGAAAATGTTGGTAATTCAGATTAAACTTAAAAAGTGTGTGTCCCCCCTCCCCACCAAAAAACCCCCCAGAACAGCGAAGGGTTGTTAAACATTTAGTATGCACACACTGGAACTGGGTCAAATGATGGGGCTGGACTAAATGACCTCTAGGGTTTCTTCCAGCATTAGATCTATGATCCTATGAAGGGTAACAATTTTTTTTTTTGGTCCATAACCACTCTTGGAAGCGGTGGAGTTGTGCTCTGCATCTGTGGAAGGGCCCTGCATGATATTAATTAAATCCCAGGTTGGAGTAGAACAGATTCAAGTGGGAAGAGGCTCTTGAGGGAGAGATCAGCTAGGATATTGTTGCAGTAATCCACATGGGAAAGGTGAAGAGGGCTTAGGCTAGGATGCTGGCAGTGGGAATGGAGGGGAGACAGCTTGGAAGACTGTCACTAGTGACTCAGAAGGCTTCATAGTTACAGGTTTTTCATTTGGTTTGGTATTTTAAATACAGAGATTTTAAATGATTTCTCTCTAATTTAACCCATTTAATAACTTTATTTTTGCAAATTGAGTAAAACTTTCCTGAGATGTGCTTTGGAGGACCTGTGTGAATCATATTCATTAAAGACAGATTCTGAACCCAGACTTTGGTTTTTGAAATGGATACGCTTGAAACAACCTGAAGTGAAGCAAAATGTGCCCTGGTTTTAAATGGCCGAGAAACTTAAATTAAGAACAAAACACACCCACACTTAGTATGGGGAAATTTTCTTCATTTTTAATTTACAGCAGAAAGAATATAAAGCATTCAGAAAACATTTTCCATATTTTAAGGGCAATTCAAAACATTTTGCATGGTTCCAGCAGCTGAGTTCTTCAACAGACCCATTGATTCAGTGATGCTTTACATGCACAATTACAAAAATAAAACTTACAAAAAGGAGACATCTAGACTAGTTTTACATGCAAGTCTTGGGGACCCCCCGTTGGGCGCCAACTACTGTGTGGAACTGCCATAAGCGACCGTGCAACCATAGAGGGGGTTCATGTTATAGTCTTTATTTCGTTCACACAGTACAGCTGATTTCAAATGTGTAATAATAGCAATTAAATTTTCAGGAGACAGAATAATATTAGCTATTAATTTTTATAATGAAATCCTACTCCTGGCACTTGGGAATTCAGATTATCCAAGAAAGCTGCGCTTACCTATCATCTTATACTCAAAACTATGATCCACAACCAAGAAAAGGGCGATCAGAAATGCATTTTTTCAGTGGAAGTGCATTTTAAATTAACTCAGTGGTCTATGGTGGGTTATTCAGTAGGCATTAAACCTACTTTCTCTTCCCTCCACGAAGACCCTCTGAGTTGGAAGAGTAACATTAAGTATTTCTATATCTTACTGAGTCTTCTATCTTGCCCATCTAATAAATGTATGTGAAACTTTTTTTTTTTTTGTAGAAATGTGAGGGTTAAAACAAATCCACTGAGGTCATTACTCTTGTTAAAAAGATCCATTCTTTTCATTATAACAGATGGAATAAACATGTCTAAATTCTTTCAATTTTAATACAGGACATTTCGAAAGATCTGGCCTTCACATTCTATTCCCATTTGTGTGTGCAGTTATGTATATGTGTGTATGAGTGTGTAATACTCAGTGTTCTCCTACAGGCCCAATTTTGTAAAGTAATGGATATTTTGGGACTGCAACACAGCTGCAGCATGAGCCACACACTTAAAAAAAATTGAGTTAGGTCAGTTTACAAATGTACAGGTGGCTGTTCATTGTGGGACTGTCACTTGTCAGAGCTGATCACGAGCAGTAAGACATATACTGTACAGTAATTCAAGGTTGGCAGTGAAAGGAAGTAATTAAAAAACAAGTACAATTATAGAAAAGGCACCAAGAGCACTGACCCCAGTTTTTACCCCAATCCTTTTGTATATACCTTCCTTCCAAAGACACCAGTTTAAAAGCTTCTTATTTGTGAATATTTTTAGGCTTCACAACAAGCCTTGCATTTTAACTTACAGTTGATGGCCAA